GAGCGGAAGAACTCAGGATGAAAAGTATAGGAATCACACCAAACGACAAAACTCGTAATTTGTAATTCTTAGATATTTAAAATTTTATGCCGGATAAAAAAAAAAGAAAGAAGAAATAAAACTGACGTTAATGTATACTTGGAAAACATACCGTAGTATAATTTCGATTTCCGAGCTCACATCGCAGACGCCATGAAACTGTTACCTACGCTTGGAAAGGATATAGGTCACGGATTCGACGAGAAAGCCTCTGCTTTGTTGTCCTAACCCTAGTAGTTAACCTAAATTTTATGTTATCCAGATTTCCTCTCCCTCTTTGTCTCTCTTTCTCTCTCTCTCTCTCTCTCTCTCTCTCTCTATCTCTCTCTCTCTCTCTCTCTCCCTGCCTCCCTGTCTCATTTTTTTTCTTTTTTCTTTCCTCTCATTTTTTTTTATTTCTACAAACTTTTGGTAATTCGACGTTAACTGGTGTACTCCCAAAAGACGTTGTAGTAAAAGTGAATAATAAAGAAAGATAGAAAGATAGAAAAAGAGAGAGAGAGACAAAGGACCCAAAAGCGTTCGTTCATCTCCATGAATGAACTGGATGTTAAATTAATTGAATTTCAGGCGACGTTTCGATCCTGAGATATGGATTTAATGCGCGATTAAAAATCACGAGTACCGCCTCGCGGACAGCTGAATTCGTTTGCATAAAGTTCTTGACCTCCTACCTCTCCGCGTGCAAGTCGGTGATGTTCCAGAATAAATTTACAAAGCGATATGAGATTATGCAAAATACTTTCCGTCTTTATGTCTGTCGACGGTGAAAGAGATAGGAGGAGGAGAACAAGAAGAAAAAGAAAAAAAAGGAGAAAAAAAAAGAAAAAAGAAAAAAAAATAAGAACACGTGGAAGGGTTCCATTTGGAGTACGATGTGAAGGCATAAATTTTCTTCGGAATATTTGACTACTGTCGTCGTTCTTATCGATCCATCTTTTATCATTTTTTGTCATTAATTATGCGAGATACGGTATAATGAGATGGGATATTTTTTGTCCCGCTGATGAACGATATTTTCTTCTTAAATATTTTTCTAGAAGAAAATATGAGTATTTGTCTAACTTTGTTTTAAATGAAATTCTTTTTTCTAAAGAATATAGACGAGTCCAATTATTTATAAATGTAGATAGGAGTTAAGAAGGCGTTCGTTGATCATATCTTTGAATATTCAAAAGGCGTGAAAAAGCATAAAAATGTTTCTGGTAGACTTTCTCTCTCTGTCTCTTTCTTTCTCTTTTTTCTCATGTCGGCTACCTCCCACACAACGAGCGAATAAAACTGGCAGCGATATTGCAATACGATCCTAGAGTCTCGCATCATAATTCTTCGTACATAAGAGGTCAAGGAGGTGGAACGGACTGAAGGCTTGTAAGAGTAGATCAATGTCACGAGTTGGATGAAAGGAGAGAGACAGGAGGGGAAAGCTTTAAGATAAAAAAGAATTATCTCTTTACACGTATTTATTTTTACCTTTCATTTATTTCGAGCTTTTACTATTATACATAGAATCTCATGACGAACATAATTCGTGTCTTTATATTTATATTTTACGTTTTATTTACGAATATTCATATACATATATGTATATACATTATTATAGATACATTATTACACATGTAATTTCACTCGTTAACAATAAACTGCTGCACACAATTTCTGACGCAATGCTTAAAGAACTTGGAAGTTATCTTCAGAACTACATAGAGATAACATCACGCGCCGAGAAGATAGAATGAATCATAGACTTAATCGAAGTACGAAGCGTGCACTAATAAAAGCAGAAACGATCAAATGCTCTCTCACTGGTAACGTAAATTCGTTATAATCACGCTAACTAGAGCAGGCACGCACGAGTTCCGCTCAAAAGCAGCTGCGATCAGAAATATCCTAATTTTCCTTAAGAAGGGCGGATTCAAAAGAGAGAGAGAGGGAGAGAGAGAGAGAGAGAGAGAGACAGATGGCTGCTGCTTTATATCCGTTGAAAACGGCGATTTAGGCGAAACGTATCATACGTATTTTAGCCTTATCAAGAACCAACGAAAAAGTTCGTGTTCTTCTAACATACCCTTCTTGCATTAAAAGCTTCGGAAAAGAAAAATTCGTGGATATCAAAAACTCACCTGTTTTTCTTCTAAATTTCTTACTCTACTTTGAAAACTTCGCTTCGATAGACGCAAAAGTGACTTTTCTAAAATGCCAGAAAAAAATATATATATGTATATGTGAATATGCGATAGAGATAGACAGAAAAAAGCAAACACATTGAAATTTTTTTTCTGGAAGATATTTCGTATCGTTCAGAACGAAAAGTTATGATTACGAGCGATGGAATAGCGAATGATATAAATTTTAAGGTCATCTAAGCTCAATGCTGACGACCAAAGTACAAAATTGGATTTGTCGAACAGAGACGTTTATTAAAGTGTGTCCAGATATATAATGCTCTGTCATTGAGTGAGCTTGAATCTGACATGGATAAGCTTCTCTTTGCTACTTTTATCATGTGGACTTTGTTCTTTCGTTATCATTACGACATGTAATCTAATAGCTTTTTGATCCTTTTGATATTTTCCCTGTGTGGTGAGATTTACTAAAGTTATAACATATATCCATGGATGTACATAGAGGTATCCCAATTGTTTCGTAAATTTGTAAAAAACAAGTTAATATACAGGTTACATATATTAATACATTAGACATACTATATGTATATGTATATGTGTATATATGTATATATATATATATATATATATATATATATATATATAAAGTATATAAAAAATATACGTATATTTTCTGCATTAAAAGAAATCGAGTTTGATCGAACATTTGATATAAAACGATAGGGAAAGAAGATTGATAAATTGGTTATTTATTTTTCGAGATTCGCAAGCGAATCCAAGTTGATTTGTCGCGTGAAGAAACGTCAGCCATAAATTCGTTCTCAGGGGAACGTTAAGTATAATAAAAAGAATATATATATATATATATATATATATATATATATATATAAAATAAAGAAATAAAGAAATAAATCGCGAAAATATGAAAAAAACTAAAAAGTAATAGAATAGAACGCATGTAATTAAAGAATTAGTGCTCGACGCGTGCGACACGCGATTCATACGACATAAAACACCACCCGAGTAGTATTATTGAGTCATAATGCGTGGCACGTCCAATTGATAAAATCAGCTTATGGTCAGTACTATAGTTGTTCGTTCGTTCTTCTTGAATATATAATGTAGGTTAGGGTTACGTGTCTATCTATTGTAAAATAATTTTTCTTTTTTTTCTTTTCTCATCTAGGCGCAGATTACAATCATCCATCTTTCTCGGATTCTTCTTAGATTGTCCTGTTTCTCTCTTTCTCTCTCTCTCTTTCTTTTTTTCTATTTCTTTCTCCCTCTCTTTCTTTTCTTTTTCGTCGTCGACTTCTTTCGATTTCGTCTTTTTTCTCGTCGTGGTCCTTTAATTTCCCTCTTGGTCTATGTAGACAGCCACGACTCTTGCAGCAGCCATTGTAAAATCTCAGGTCGCATACTATCGTCGTTCACAAAGGAAGAGAGAGTGGGGGGAGAGATAGAAAGAGGCAGAGAGAGAGAGAGAGAGGGAGAGAGAGAGAGATAGAGAGAGAGAGAGAGAAGAGAAAGAAAAGAGAGAGAGAGACAGACAAACATACATCAGTGTATATGTATTGAACGCCTTATCGCGATGAAACCGCTCAGATATGAACATGCAATATTCTTAAGGGTGCAGATGTACAGAGAAAGAAAGAGAGAGAGAGAGAAAGAGCGAACGCCCGACGATGCCTTTGAAAAGCTATAACAGACACTTCTCGCTTGTTCCGTTTTACCGAAGGAGCACACCGTACGTTTGCCTATCCACGGCAGTACCCTCTCTATCTGACAATAGAGCCTTTGTGACCAGAGTTTGGCCATCATCCATTCTTCCCTTCACCTACCTAATCAGGAAGGCCGTACTTTGGAATTTAGGTTAAAACATTTTTCCCTCTTGAGATTCACGTCAATGGAATCCATTAAAAAGAAAGGAATAATAATATTGAATTTGGTGGAATTCGACGTTAGAGGATTGTTAGATTTCATATGTCGTGGTAGTAGTGCAGGAAATGTAATATTTATCTCTCTTAAATTTTCACTTCCCTTTTCATCACATAGGAACGTTTATATATTCAATTGGATTGATCGATCACAGATTTACGAGACGAATGATCGCGAATAAATCGTCACCGAAATATATCTATCTATCTATATATATATATATATATATATATATATATATATATATATATATATACACGCACATACATACCCATACATATGATATCAACTCGTAAATATATCGGTCAGGCTGAATATGTGACATTCGTGATGTGTCGGCCGCTCTTCCGTTGTATATTACTTATGCATTACGTTACTGCATTGACCGACAATTATGTATACGCTCTATATTTTCTAACTATGTCTATTTCTAACCGTTTCGTTGGGCATCGATAATTAGAATTTGTAGGAGAGCTTTGGCGAAATATTTCAAACAATTTTATATTTGTTATTATTTGACACGATCAAGAAATATTTCCTCGTTTCTATTTAATTCATCAAATTTTCGATATATGTTTGTACATACATGAAATATTATTTATTTTTTATTATTAAAATTCAAATTAATTTTAAATGATTTCATCAAATAGATTTAAATGATTTTAAATGAAATATGTGGAATATATAAGTTTAAAGAAACGGAAATACATACATACATATATATATATATATATGTATATGTATGTATAAATGCTAGTGTATTCAAATAAAAACAGATGTTGGTGAAAGGACGTCGATGTAAACAACGCCGAAGAAACGTTTATAGGTCAGGTCAAATAGATAGAAAGTCCTTGTCGGTTGGTTATTAAATCTTCACTCTCATTCTTTCTGTTCCAGCGACCACTCGATCAGCAACCGCGTGGATCGGCGAGGTTATCCAATGCACTGCGAATGTGAGTGCGGGGAAGTAACGAGGCCCTTATGACGACGCGAGGAAACGGCTGAGAGTGGTTTGATCACTTCTCAGTCGGACTTTTAGGCTTTATGACCGATCTCTTCTTCCTTCCATCCTTCTCCCATACAATGAGTCCTTTCCATAAATTTCGTTTCCTCTCTCTCTCTTTCTCTTTCTCTCTCTCTCTCTCTCTCTCTCTCTTTCTTTATATATATATATATATATATATATATATATATACACGGAGACACACATACAGATACACACATATATACATATGACGCTCCCTAGAAAACATTGAAACATTTATTGAAATACGAGGAACTCATCTTTGTTACGTTATTATATCGTACACACCATGATCAGGAAGTAATTACCATGCTCGAACATAGATGCTGGTAATACCTCGTATCTAACTACGCCTACTTGCTGTTATTGTTGGTGCTGCTGGTGCTGTTACCGTTGCTGTTGTTACATCATACATGCAGAAGACATCACATAACCCGAATACTCGCTTCGTTACCTTAAATTCCGTCGAGATACGCGAAAAAAATGTTCAACAAAATTAGTAGCTGTTAACTATACCGTTATTTTTCCCACGCCCTCACCCACCCCCACCTCTATTTCTTTAGACTCGCATTTGTAGATTCGGTGAACGAAGAAAGAAGAGAGGATGGTGATAACAAGGGAAAGAAAATCAACGTGTTCCAAAGTCGAGCACCAATTTCTACACTGCTCTGCGAAGACCGAAATGTAGTTCGAGCTGAGACCATTTTCTATAATGATTCAAGCCGATAGATAGATAGATAGATAGATAGATAAATAGATAGATAGATAAATAGATAGATAGAGAAGGGAGATAATAATCTCGTGAACTTGTGAATTTAGATAGACGATGACCAAAAATTAAAGAGAGAACAAAAAAGAAAGAAAAAGTCTCTTAAGGATAATTCATCACTGGTCTTGTAATATCGTTCGTCGTCAGCTCTGTACAATCGTTTCGACGAGGAAAAAGAAGAAAAAGAAAAAAAAAGAATGGGACAAGAGAGAGAGAGAGAGAGAGAGAGAGAGAGAGAGAGAGAGAGAGAGAGAGAGAGAGAGAGAAACAACAGAGGAAGCATGTCATAGCAGACATCAAAGTTTTTGGCGACGTTACAAGAGCCGAACGTGGTGTATCACATATTTCATTACCTGGCGTTTGCCAACAAGCAAGCAAAGCTTTGCTATTCTTGACCATTTTCCAGCATGACGATGGAGAAATTCGTCCGAGCGGCTGGCCGACTCGGCAAAAAAATATACAGCCCTTATATACTTTCTATAGATTAAGCTCGACTTCCCATCACGTTATCACCGAAACGTTCGACCTTTTCTCAGGATTATTTTCATTTGCATATTACGAAATATACGTTGTTAGTGAAGCATGGTTATGTGGGTGTGTGGGTGTGTGTGTGGAAAGTTGCCAAGAGATTTAAGGTATTCGCGAATTTAGAAGGACGATGATGATGGGCTTAAAGGTCTGGATAAAAAGATGAAAAATGATTGGTATAATGAAATATCCGATCGATCAAGAATATATCTCCTCTTATGTTCGTGATTTCCAACTTGTCCCTGTAAAAGTAACTCTCATATAGAAAATGAATGTGGAAAGAAATAGATTAAAAGAAATGGATTAGAAGCATATATATTTCGGATCGAATTATGGGATGCTTCTTAACGCGTTTTATGCATACGTATCTGTATATGTCTATGTTTCCTTTATATGAACGTACGCATTCGTTTATTATGGATTATATACGTTTAGGCAAATTGATCGAACCGTTGGAGCACTTTACCCGCAGAGGGCGCAAAAGATCGGTTGCTAGAGACAGGACAAAAATTAATCAATAGGATCCTAACCGTAAGTCTCTTGGCTAATTTACTTTCCTTTCACTAAGAAAGCGATCGTTATTTTCAGTGAACACAAAAGTGAGAAATTTGAAACACTAAGAGAAAACGATATGAATAAGTGAAAAATTTGAAAAATTGAAATTGTTTTAACAAAAAACGGATAATATTTTCTCTCTATCATTTATGTTTTTCCTTTGTTTTTGATTTCTTTTTATTAATTTTCCGTATAAAAATTATGTTTATTTTTTTTTTATTTTCATATATAATAATCATTTGCGAATTATTTTTAGACGCTAAGAACAAACAATAACAATCTCTTTACTTTTACACACGCTCGATGAAAGGATATGTAATTTGTAATCACGCTCGTTCAACGAATGATGTATGCGAACGGAAGTAACGCGAGCTTAGCGTAGGTGTTCCGGTAATCGCGTAAGCTTGGCGTTCTAAACTCTTGGGTATGTTCGAAAATACGAGACGTGAGATAGAAGTAGAAGAACGCGATTATTATAAACGCATATATACGTAGGTATGTGTATCGAACGAATTACCTAT